TTCAGTTTCTCCACAACCTCACCAGCATTTGTTGCTTGCTGTTCTGTTAAATTTTGCTATTCTGACTGGGGTGAGATGATATCTCAGAGTTGTTTTATTGAAACTTTATTGAAACTCTATTGAACCAGAGGCTGTCACTGTCATTCCTATTGGCTGACTCTAGGATGGCCTGTTGGGATGAGCTTAAGAAGTGTGTCCTGTACTCTGGGCAATCTTGGTCCACTGTATTCCTGTCAGGGCTTGAGTCTGCTCTGCGGGCAGCAGAGAGATAGAAAATGAGTCAAAGCTTGTAGACTCTTCTGGCAATTGCTTTGCCTCCCAGGATCCAAGTAGTTGAGAAATGCCCAGGGTTAGTTTTCTGAAATCTTGCAACCCACTCTGATCCAGCTTTCAACCACCTCTGATTGATTTCACTGTGATAGAGCCAGAACCCAACCAATCCCCAAGGTTTAGGGAACCCCAGATCATTCCCTCATGGTTGTCTAGGATTTAGAGGTACATTTTCCACACCCTATTCCTTAACTCTTGTTTTCTAATAGTGTCCAGTGATAGTAGGAAGAGCTCTTTACTGTATTGTATTCACTTATCTGGAAAACATTTGATGAAATGTGTCTTATTTCACATGGACCTTGGTATTGTGGAAAAATTACAGAAGGAGGAAAAGCAACACGAATTGCAGCAAAGACATCAGTGCTTCATAGATGGGGAAGAAGACAGGCGATAGATTTATACATCTCCCCGTGTATAAAGAAGCAGAATATGTTGTTGCTGGTTGCCGCCAAGTTGGTTCTATGCAATGCCGACTGGTCCCACCCTATCCTCACTCATCTCACTGCTTGCTATATTGAGCCCATTTACTTTTAAGCTACTTATGTCAGTCTGTCTCAGTTGTTAGTGTTCTTATGTGCCGTCAAGTCACCTGCAACTCATAGCAATCCTGAACCAACCTCCTTGTCTCTGACACACCTCCCCCATTACCCCAGTCACTGAATCAATTAATCTCATCCAGTATTTTCTTCTCTTGCACTGTCCCTCCACTCTCCCAAGCATAATGTCCCTCTCCAAGGAGTGTTCCCTTCTTGCAACATGCCCAAAATATGTCAGATGGAGCTTCAGAACCCTTGCTTCCAAAGAACAGCCTGGCTTCACCCTCTCCAGGACAAACTTGTTTGTTCTCCTAGCTGTTCATGGTATATTCAGTATTCTTCTCCAGCACCACTGCTCAAAAGGCATCAATTCTCCTTCTATCATCCCTAGTCATTATCCAGCTCTTTGATGCATAGCAAGTAACTGCGAAGACCATGGCCTGGATCAGGCGCAGCTTGGCTTCCAGACTGTCTCATTTCAGACCTTCCTTTTTTTATTGACCCCTGCTTTACCAAGCTTGATGTCCTCCTCCAGAGACTGAGCCCTCCTAACAGCGCATCCAAAGTAAGTAAGATGAAGTCTCATCATTGTTGCTTCTAAGGAGAATTTTTGTCTGTCCATCCAAGACTGATTTGTTTGTTCTTCTGGAAGTCCATGTTATATTTAATAGTCTTCTTTAAATCATAATTCAAAGCATCGATTCTACTTCTGTCCTCTTTGGTCATTATCTAGCTTTCCAGTGCATATATTTTTGTGTACCATTGAGTCAGAACCAACTCATAGCCTACTCTCCTCCAGGTTTTCAGAGGCAGTAAATTGCATGGGAGAAGATTTGCCCTTCTTTGTGCTGTGGAGCACCTGGTGGATTAGAACAATATACCTTTGGGTCGGCAATGCAGTTCCTTACCATTAAGCCACCAGAACTCCCCAAGTGGATATGAAGTGGTTAAAATTCCCATGATCAGTTACAGCTTAGCCCTCAAAGGAACGGCTTTGCCTTTTAACACTTCAAAGAGATCTCTTTCATAGTTGATGTAATTGGGAAAAGGTGTTTTCAGGAAGTTATTGATCTTATAAAATTCTACCGTGTATTCTCTGACGTAGTTGCTATCACCAAATCCGTATTCTCCAGTGGCCAATCATTATTTACAACTTTCACATTTTAGTTGCCTGTTACTCTCAATGCATCTCAATTGCAGGTTTGATCAATTTTCAGACTGCATAAATTGGTAAAGAAAATAAATTTCTTCATCTTTAGTGTTAGGCGTTGGTGTAAATTTGAATAATTGTTGTATTAAATGGTCTTTTCTTGTAGGCATATGAGTATTTTCCCATCACTGACAGTGTTATACTTCAGGCTAGATCTTGAAATGTTCCTTCTGACAATAAAAACAATTTCTCCTTCCTGAGATAGTTGATCATATGATTGTCCAATTTAAAAGACCAGTTCTAATCTGTTTCAGCTCACAAATGCCTGGAAAATGATCTCTGATTTTTACTTCCTACACTCCACAGTTCAATTATTAATTAATGTTTGTGATGTTTCTTCTCATCTTGAGTTGTGTCACATCAACAAAGAAACGTCGTGAAAGTGTTACTCTGTCCATGGCTACTCCATCCATGGCAGTAAGGGAGACTTATCTTTGAAGGCATGTCTTCTCTAGCTATATTTTAAGTGCTTTCCAACCTGGACCTTAAATTTCATCTCCTAGCACTTTATCAGACAGTGTTCCACTGCTACCCATAATGTTTTTACGGTGATTTTTAGAAAATCATATTATCAAGTCCTTCTGCCTACACATAACAGTAATAATGGAAATTGCTCTGGTGGCCTAGTGGCAAGAAGCTGTGCTGCCATCCCGAAGGCACGCTGTTCAAATCCACCAGCTGCTCTGTGGGGAAAAAGTTGGACAATCTCCTCCTGAGAAACTAACTGCCTCCGAAAACTCACTGGAGGTTCAGCTATGGGTTGGTTCCGATTCAGTATATACACTCGTAGAGTATGTCCTTAAGTAGCTACAAGCAATCTATACCATGTATGTTGTGTGCTGTATGTTTGTTATCTGTACCACATATGTTATATGCTCCAACCATGAAAACGAACTATAATCACTGTATTATGCCACTACCTCCAATTATGGAGAAATTTGAAAATCCTTAGGAGTTGATCCTGACTCAGTGGCAGTGAGGGAGTTATGTTCCTTAGAGTTAGACAGAATTCCAGAGATTTCTGCTGTGGTGACCCTGTTGCTGCTGCATTATAATACTTATTGTTTAGTGGTTTTGTTGTTTTTACGGCTTTACCTTTTTAACTATGGACATCTTAAAAACCAGGGATCTTAGTTCATTCATCTTTGAATCTTTGCAGAATGCCTGACTTAAAATAAATGCTAAGTAAATGTTGAATGAATTAATGACTTGTGTGCTGGATATAACTTTATGCCTTCACATGAAATTGCTTTGCTTCTCCACCCTGTTCTAATTCTAGTGTAACTGACCTGCAGATTTTTCCAATGGGCCTCCAGGCCCTCTGGCTTGTGGTTGAGTTTGGCCAATGGTAAGAGACCAGAGAGAGACTTAAGGATATTTATTCCCCTAGTTTCCTTCCCTGTGAGGTCACCATGTGCTGCCTGTGTCCTTCAAAAGTAGCCTCCTCTCTTTTCAAAACATCTTGCTTTTACACGATTCTCTCTTTCCAGGTTCTGTAACCTCAGCCTTGCTGTCTCTCAGGGGTGTCACCTAGCTTCCGGTTTCCCTCCACCCCACTTATACCTTTTTAATTAGTCTCTTTGTAAATTAACCCTCCACCAATTATCCTCATTAAAGTGAGCCTTCTCCTTCCTGTTAGGCAGCAGCAGGGCCTGATTGCGGGTGGAGATTTTAAGTGGTTTGAAGGGCTCCAGGTGCTTAAAAAGGTGCACAGGGTGGTCCTCTAGAGGAGAGAGACAGACAGACAGACACAGCTCACCATTAAAGTAGTTCTGGTGGCTGCAGCTTTGGGGACATAAATTGCTGCTTTTGAAATAATTCTCTGCGTAGGAAAGACTTTCTCCCACTGATAAGTTGTAAAATCTTATTTTAGACTGACCGTCTATTGTTAAGTCTCTGAAATTGTCCCTCATCATGGTTGTGTGTCTGACTCAGTCTGGGATGTACCAAAAGAGGAAATACTCAGGACAAATATATCGGGGCCCAGGATGCATGTTTGAGGGACTAGCTTAGCCATCTGAAGACTTGCAAGGCTTCTCTGGCACCTGCTTCAATTGTTTTTAATGTTTCCTCTGCCTCATGTTTTTCTGTAGGTGATCATAAACAGCACAATCACCCCGAACATGACTTTCACCAAAACGTCGCAGAAGTTTGGGCAGTGGGCAGACAGCAGAGCCAACACGGTGTTTGGCTTGGGGTTCTCGTCGGAGCAGCAGCTGACGAAGGTAACGTGGCTCTTCCAGTACTACAGTGATCGCGGCAAGGAGGCTGGTCCCATTCAGTAACTTCCTGAGAAAGGGTTGACTTCGCTACTCATGAGCAGGATTCCTTTCCGGACGTAAACGTCACTCTTTTTTTTTTATTTAATTTTTTAAATTTTATTATTGTCTGTGTGTGCGTGTGTGTGTACTGTCAGATCAGATCTGACTGGTACAGGAGGAGATTGTTCCTCCTTCTCCAGCAAAGCATCTGCTGAATTTGAACCGTGCACCTCCGGGATTGCAGTACACCTTCTTGCCACTAGGCCACCAGAGCTCGCCGTAAACTTCACTCTTAATGAAACTGCATGCTGCCAAACCAGGTGCCTTTTGGAACGTCAAGTTCCTTGGAAATGGGAGAGTTGTTTGGGCTCGGGAAATTCTTTTCCAACTGTCCTGCTTTAAAGCCTAAAGTTGTAACATCAGTGCTGCTTCCCACCCCTTCTGTGCGTCAGCCGCTGCTCTCCAGGCTCAACAGCATGAGGGACCTGGGTCCTAGTTGGCCAGAATCGATCATTTGGATTTTCAGGACTCTGAGAACTATATGCCCTTCCTTTTTGAGGGGAACCCTGGCCCCAGCCCTTGCCTCTAAGGAGCACCTTTCTTCCAAGACTTGTCCCAAGATTTATTTATTTTTCCAGCGTCTGTGGGATATTCAGCACCACAACTCAAAGACATTGGTTCTTTTTAATCTGTTTCCTGTTAGGTTCTAGAAGAGTCCTATGTAGTGATTAAGAGTGATTTGGTTGTAAGTACGTGTATTTTATACAACATAGGAATTTGTTAGCGGTATATCAAATATCTCAAAGAATCCAGTGGAAGCTTGAAAATCCAGGCTTCAGGAAGGGCTAGAACCAGGTGGCTTCAGAAGCTTGACTGTAGTAGTGGCTTCTGTCTAGACAGTGGCTGTGAATGTTTGACTGATTGACTGGACAACTGTTTGCTGAGCTCCTGCTGTGTTAGCATCATTCTAGGCATACAGCCATGGTTTCTATTCATAAGTGGTTTTACAAAAATCCACATTCCTAGGGAATTGAATTGGACGAGTTCAGCCTGGGTCAGGAAGTTCTTCATCACTGGAGAGGTGAGGGGCCCTAGTACACATATGGATGGATGCTTGGGACCTGTGTGTCTATTGAGGATAGTTTTCCAAGAAGAAAGAATTAAGATGAGTCAAGAGTCCATGCTAAGTTATTTGTCTCTCTTATTACCCAGCACTGATGTGTCAGATGCAATAAGGGTTACCCATGGTGGACAGTGTTTGTTGGAGCTCCCCAATTAAAACCATCTTGGAAGAAGGAGTGGCATCCACTTCTGAAATGGCTTGCTTCCAGAAACTCTATGAACTTGGAGAAACGATGAAAGCTATACAAGTGTTCAGGTCTTTCCTTCATAGAGTTGCTATGAGTCATCTGCGACTCGGTGGCACATCTCAAGAAGCCCATAGATCCAGTCATCTCACACCAGTACACTCCCACATTGAGGAGACCTCACAGACCATTTGTATTCTCTATTCTATGACACTCCTGGTAAAAGTACATTCCCTTAAACTCTAATAATAGAAAAAAAGTGGAAGGGAAGAGACTATTAACCGGAAGTACCATGTTTCCTTAAAAGCCCAAGAAATTCTAAAGAGACTGGCTGTAATCTCTGGCCAACATTCCCCTTAGTACCAACATCTCCAGATCACAAGGGGTCTGGAAACATGAGGCATGAAGTAAAACTCTTGAGGAGAGGTTGTTGTGTGTGATTATGGCATATGTCATCCCCATCCCTGATCCTCCAGCTCCCAGGACTGTCCATGAGGTGAGAAGTTGAGGCTACAGCATCGGCGATGGGGTGTTCCAGGCAGCAAGGAAAGATCTCTAGGGCCTCCTGCTTCTGACTGATGGGCTATGTGATTTGACCTGAGAGTATTACATAGACTCAACCCTTGCTTCATTGCACTGTAAACCCAAAGGCTGTGCATCTCCAGGGCAGCTGGAAGGGGGAAAGAAGAACAGTGTCCTTGTTTTATAATTTACAGCCTTGAAACCCAGTGTGGAGTCACTGAGTGAGAATTGACTCAACATCAGTAGGTTTGAGTTGTTCTCATGTCACATTGGCTGAGAAGCAGCTTCTTGGGGCTGAGACAGTGTTGTGTGAAATATATATCACTAAATAAATTTATGAATGGTGGGACTGGCAGAGGTAAGACTATGAGGGAATCTATTCAGAGCCATTGTCTGTGACTGTTATACCCACTGCCCTGAAATGGAAAAGTCTGATTCGTACACTGCAAGTCTTTAAGGAAGGATACATAGCTGCTTAGTGTCTTGCAAGTCTTTAAGGAAGGATACATAGCTGCTTAGTGTCTTTTCTTTTTTGTTGGGTTTTGTGTTGTTGTTGGGGTTTTTTAATTACTTTTTTCTTTCCCCCCCCTTTTTTTTATTATTAATTTTAATGAACATTTACAGAGCTTTTGGATTTCCATTCTTTTCTAATGAAGACAGATCACTGTTTGGATTTGGATTTGCTTTTTGTTTTTTTTCTGAAAGAACAGGCCCAGTGTCATCAGCCTGCCTCCAGGGTTGCTTTACCAGGCTAGCTGACTACTTGAAGGTGTGATGTAGAATTAGGTGCTCAGGGTGGGTCACTGTGGTTGCTGTTAGACACTTGAAAGGGACAGGAGTCAGGCTGGCCGTAGAGAGCAGTATGTGTTTGCAGATGTACATGCTGACTCTCTGCCAATATGGCCAGTGTGTTAATGAATTTTCTGAGCAAACACCAAACTAGGAAGAAGAGAATGACTGGGCTCCATGGAGTGGTCTTACTTGTTGCATTTATGTACAATGTACTTGGCTCTGGTTCTGTCTGGTTCTGCTCATGAGTAATTTCTCATATTCCTTGGTTCTAGCCCTCACACTTTGTTCCTTCCCAGTGCTCACCCATCCTGCTAAGCACTTAACTGTTGTCCAAGAATCTGTGTAGGTCCTGACTTCAAACCACCTGTCCTGTGCACAGTGGACAAGGAGACACTTGCCAGCAGGGACGACTTTTCTTTTCCATTGTCCTTCAGACAACAGAATTCTGGGACAACAGACTACTTAGCATTAGCTCAAGTGTGAATCTGTGGTGCGTGGGCAAAGCTGCAAACAGTTCAGTGTTAACAGTGCCTAGGGTTCTGAAGGGTGAGTAAGCTGACAGAAGTGGCCCTGTGACGTGCCTTGTGTGTCGTGCCAGGGTTCCTCGACTTCCGCATGTGGCCTCTGAAGGATTTTAAGCCAAGAAGGGAAATGATTGATTTGCATTTTAGCTCAGTTTTTCTGGCAGCAAGACAGATTCTATTATCTTAGCCCAAATTAGAGATCATAGAGACTTGAGTAAGAGGTGGAGACAACTTGGCAGACCTTAGTGATTGGGTGTGGGGAACAAAAACGGTAGGAGGATGATGGATGTTTGATGCCATTTGCTAAGATGAGAAAGAGGAACAGTTGCCCTGAAATCAGAGAGGATATATGTAGAAGTATAATGGTGATTTACAGGCAGAATGATTCCGTGGAACTTTGGGCCTTTTCCATCCTGAAGAAATGTTTGATGGAGGAAGAGAGGTGGTTAGGAGAAGCTCCTCCCTGGCCAAGTGGCTCTTCCTGTATCCCACCCCCCCACACACACACCTCATCATCTCTAGATTCATAGGATTTGAACCTTCAAACTTCAGGCAAGGATGGGATGGAGAAACTTCCATGAGAGGTAGGACCCTCAGTAGGCATCCCTCAGGTCATGGGTGCCTGATGTCACTAAGGGCCAGGACAGTTGGAGAGAAGCACCCACACAACTACTTGGAGGAATTGTTTCAGTCTTTGGAGAAATCAGAGTAGATGGGAGGTTGACAGGGAAAACCTTATGAAAAGAGTCAAAAGAAGGGAGAACTTAAAAGAACAACAAGGACAAATTAAAGTTTGGTCCTTTGTGTCCCTAGGGATGTGGTCCGTAGGGAGCTGTGCTGCTGACACAAAGGCTACCGGCTGTCTGGCGGTTTGAATCCTCAGATGGATCTGAGGGAGGAGGATGGGCAGTCTCCTTTTGTAGGATTTACAGCCTCACAAATCACATTGAAGGGTTAGCTGTAGTTCACTTCCAGCTCAGAGGCAGTTGAGTTTGCTCTGTCTCTCAGAACCGAGGGGGCTTTGAGCAGGACGTGCTTCTGAGCATGGTCACTTCTGCTCTTTCCACAGAGAAGAAAATGTCCTCTCATTAAGGAGGAGTGCCGGTCTCCCTGAGTCACCAGGTCTCCGGCAGTGCTGAAGTCTCTGCTCTGTCTCTGTAACCTGTCATTGTCACAAAGGCTTATCAGATAGACCTTCAGATGTCTCCTTTGTACAGAATGTCTCCAATCAACTTTCCCCATCTTTTTGAAGGGAGGCAATTAGCCCCACACTGATAAATTACCGTGAAGTGAGGCTGGCAGACTCGACAAGTGGCAATTAGCTGGCACAGAGGAACTTGGGCTTCAAAGGTTCCCCAGGAGTGTGCTGAGGGAGCAGCTGGGACTAAATATTCCTGAATGCGCAGAGCAGCCACCCACAGACTTGCGAGGGGAATTGGTAATCAAACACTGTAACTAGGCTCGAAAAAGGAACACCGGCATGGACACGTCCATTTAAGAACCCTTTATACACACTTCTCTTCCTGCTCCCCAGAGAGAAAATAGATACCTTGGGCTAACTGCTCCCATTATCAGGACCACTTTACCCTAATCTAAAAGGTATTGCAGGGAAACTTTCTGCTTCTTAGACTGGGCTTTGCAAAAATAATAGAAGCGATGTATTCCCGGAAGTAAATGAGGACACGTCTGTCAGCCCATGAGGTAGGACATATGCCTCATCTTGCCGATGAAAACATACAGGGAGCCTGTGTGTTCTGCTGAAGAAGAGCTTAGGAAGAGAGACAGGAGGGAGAACAGAACAGAACAACGAGTCATTTGT